TAGGAACCAATACATAAGGCGAAGACCAATAAATTTTACTGGGCTCTATAATGCCATTTTTCCAGTTTATAAGATATTTATTTACGTATTTTGTCGACCTTGATTGGATTCACACATAGGGATGTTGTTTTACAGGAGAAGCGTCACCTACATTTACACCATGAACAGCGATGTTGGTTTGATTAGGAACATCCCGAAATATACATTTGTATTCAGTCAATAAACTAGCAAGTTGATTTTCTCTTCAGGAGGCAAGTTATTGAGTTTAGAATCAAGATTGACCAGGATGTCAGAATTACTCAGTTTGATGTTGCATTCATCTCCGATATTTTCAAATTCATGGGTGTCTGAGTCAAAGCAGCTGTCATCAGTATCAGAAGAACACTCAACGGCTAAAATATTTCCGGATGTGACAGGGCTTCAACATATTGATATGACACAGCTGGGTAGCCTTTCGACGATCAGGTGTTTTTTACAACGTGGTCCATATCATTAACTTTCCGAACAATCTCATGGGAACCATGATACCAAGCTTTGAGTGGATGTCTTATAGTTGGTAAAAATACTAAGACCATGTCACCAAGACAGAACTTACGCTCTTCAGCCTTGCGTTCATAAATGTTTTTCATTTTAGCTTGGGATAACTTCCAATTTTCTCTTGTGTGGTCCTTTGAAGTTGCTGAAGGAACAATGGTGATAGGATGACCCCAAAGAAAGGCACTTGTTGGATTACGTTTCCAAGATTCGGTCCAGATTCTTAAGTGCTTGTGAATTGGCGTTCAATGGCCAAACACCAACTCAAACGGGTTAAACCCTAACGACTCTTGAAACGACTCACGAACAGCAAATAATAATAAATTAACTCCTTCTCGTTATCCAGACAGTAAGTCTGCTTCATATATTTCAAGGTAGAACGTAATTTCTCAAGAGAACTTTGCAATTCTGGATGGTATGCACTAGATTTGATCTTTTTAGCACCGAGCTGATAAACAACTTGTTGAAACAACCCCGACATAAAATTTGATCCTTGATCAGACTGTATTTCTTTGGGTAAGCCAATAAAAGTAAAGAAATTAATCAAAGTCCTTTTTGGCTGAAATGTTTCTCAAAGGGATATCTTCAGGGAATCAAGTGGATGCACACATGATATGCACACAGCAAATACTGGTTCTCTGATCGGGTTTTGGGTAAAGGCCCAACACAATCAACAACCACACGACTGAAGGGTTATTCAAAAGCTGGGATATGTTTCAAAGAAGCAACGGGAATTTTCTGGTTAGGGTTTCCGACCAACTGTCAGGTATGACAAGTTTAAGAAAACTGAGAAACATCTTGCCTAATTTTGGACCAAAAGAAATGTTTCATAATTTTTTAAAAAGTCTTGTTGACACCTAAGTGTCCTCCCATGGTGAATTCATGAACATCTTTCAATATTTCAGAACGATATGCTTTGGGAACAGCGATTTGGTAAACTATAGCCCAGTTCTCTGAAGTTGGAACATTTAGTAGTCTCCATTTCCTCATAAACATACCATTTTGAAAAATATAACCATTATCTCCAGTTTATCTTTTGGGAGTGCATATTTAAATAGTGAAGAGATCAGCAGATCCTTTTCTTGTTTAGCGATCAGTTTACTTCCAGCAAATGGGACTTCACTAGGTGAACCAGATTCCTTACGTCCATCATTGTTGAGAGTTTTGGTTATGGTTTTGGATTAGCCCTAGAAGATGTACATACTGACCAATAAGGTGGTAGAACTACTTGCTGGTAGTTCTGTATACTATTTGAAAGGTCGAGAGAATACAAGAAAATATGGTTTAAAAACCCCTGTCTGAAACCGAAAAATCAGTTCTTCTCCGAATTCTTGAAGTGTTATCAAGTATTCAAACTCTACCGAACGTGAACATAACTATGGAAGTCTAAAAAACTGCAGGTGAATTGCAGATTTTTCTAATTTTAGATACATTACTGATTATGGTGTTGTCAAAGCATAAGAAGGTTGAGTTAATCTTTCTGTTAATCCAAACTTGTTTCAAGTTACAAGAACAACATGTGGAACACATACTGAAAATTTACTGACATGCCTATGATTCCATACTTTTCAGACACCCTGTATTTTATTTAACTTTTGCCTTTACCAAAAGAAGAATTTCAGGAGTCAAGTTCCACAGCTTATTAATTGTTTTAGTTAATTTTAAATTTAAGCAATTTGCTACAATACAGAACAAAAAGAACGTAACTCAATAACCAAAGCCATGCCCAACCTTGAAATTGTATAAATGGGCTATTAATGCCAGAATGTTGTCTGGACATTTAACACATTAAATTTGGTGGCAAGTGACTGAAGGAAATGTGCACCTGTACAAACATTAAAATCCAGTTTAAATTAGAAATCCCTAACAAATTTAAATTATTTATCTAATATTCCAATGAATAATCATGATGATGGTATATAAATTTCATAACTAGGATTGATTCACCCCTTAAAAAATTGTTTTCTAGTACTTATGTGAAAATATCACAATAACACCAAAAACAACCCAATTAATTCAAGACAAATGGGAAAATATTCTCCTCCGAGTTCTTGAAGTGTTATCAAGTACTCAAACTCTTCAGTTTGTGATTACGACTATGGAAGTCTCAAATCTCTGCAAGTTTACCAGCCCAGCTCTGTTGTAAGTATAGATTTATGGTTTCATCTTGATCAATTAATGTAACTAATGTTAAAAGAATATTCATGTTATACTAAAGAAGTATACTGGTTGTATATTAAAGGATATTATTGAATAATAATTCTTAAAAAGGTTACAAGAAGTTAACAATTAACGAAATTGTGATTTATATTGGATATTATATGAAAATGTTATTATACTCTGTTCAATGTTGGTCTGGGACTCTGATTCTTTATACTTGTGATTTATATTGGATATTATATAAAAATGTTTAATAAATGTTATTATACTCTGTTCAATGTTGGTCTGGGACTGATTCTTTATTCTTGTGATTTATATTAGATATTATATGAAAATGTTTAATAAATGTTATTATACTATGTTCAATGTTAGTCTGGGACTCTGATTCTTTTTCTTGTGATTTATATTGGATATTATATGAAAATGTTTAATAAATGTTATTATACTGTTCAATGCTGGTCTGGGACTCTGATTCTTTATTCTAACCGTAAATTACCTCGAGTTAGTGACTTGTGAGCTCCACTCACCACTGCAAATCTTCTACTAAATAAATTTGGTATGACTGGCAGTATAATTGAAACTCCAACAATTAAGCCCACAAGAGCGCTGCTTGTTACACTTTCTACACATTTTTAATAGATTATTTAATGGTTATTTAATCATATAGTTTAGTTGGTGGGTGAATTAATCATTTAGTTTAGTTTTAATTTACCAATTATTGTTAATGGATTAATTGATCATTTAGTTCAGTTAAAACTTTAGTTTAGTTGGTTTCCACAAATTCTTAATAAATTAGTTCACCCTTTAGTTCAGTTGTTAACAATTGTAAGTGGATTAATTAAGCCTTCTATCCAGTTCTGATGATACCAACAATTGTTAATGGATTAGTTATTCTTGTAGTTCAGTTGCTTAGTAACACTTCTTAGTGGGTTAGTTAATTCTTTATTGCCGTTTAACTTGTGAACAATTGTTGATGGGTTAATTGACCCTTTACTTCAGTTGTTAACTTACCAACAATTGTTGATGGGTTAATTGACCCTTTACTTCAGTTGTTAACTTACCAACAATTGTTAGTTGGTTAATTAATCCTTCTGTTTAGTGAACTTACCATCTACTGTTAGTACAGTAGTGACCACTTTACTTCAGTTGTTAACTTACCAACAATT